AGCTTCAAACGCTCGTCCCTTCCAAGAACCTTCTTGGTTTCTCTTTTTTTTCTTTATGGGCTTCTGGTCGGCCAATTGGCTTCAGAAGATCTGAAATTGAAATCAATATAATAATAAACTAATCTTTGCACTGTGTCCCAGCGACCAGTTTTTGAGCAGCCAATGGCCTTGGTAAAGATGTGCTACCTTATCGTGGTGCCAAGGTTAAGTACTTGAATTTATTCAAGAAAACTAAATGCACCCATTAAATGTTTGAAGTGGGTGGCCTCCTTAAAAACCAAATTCTTTTTATTTTTCTTTTCAATACATACGTTCTTAGGAATGGCATTCCCTTGGCGACGTTTGGCCTTCGAAAGGTAGGTGTCCAATGCCCATTATCCCTTATTATTTTGAGGGAAGCCATGGTCCAGCAAATTCTCTTTCTTGAGAGTTTACGGGTTCATAAACTAAAAACGTCAAGCAGCACCGTGGCCAGCAGAGTCGTACTGGGACAAAACTTTATCCAAGAAGGTCTTGTGGCGCGTGTATCAGTGTGCCATCAGCAGCAGTTTCTTTTATATATTTCACCTTGGTGTGAATGCCGATAAAGGAGTGGTACGGACCCTAGAGATAGTAACAATTATGCCCTCCAGTGGTGAAAATTGGATTTGGCCGTGGAGGGGGCTCAGAGAGGCCAAAAAAAAACTATGCCCAACCATCAAAGAGATCCATTTTAGTCCCATTACCAATGCGCATGCCACTGCGCAATGGTAATAAAATACAATAAAAAAAGAAAATAAAAATAAATAAAAATTATATACATATATCGTTAAATATATTGCTGTTTATGGTTCGTGCCATTGGAGTAACATCCATAACGACACGAAAACCAAAAAAAAAAGCCAAAGGGGAACTCCATTCCTGGTTTTCCTGCGAAAAAAATGAAATGACGGTCGTGTATCGGCATATCCGTTTTAAACACTAGATGATAAAAAGCAAAGGAAATTACCCTTCAGAAAGCCGGCCGCCCGCAGCGGCGTAAAACGCAGCATTGGGAGATTCTAAAAGACATAAGGGTGCCCACAAAAAAGAATTGACCAACTGACGTTAACCCCAGAGCAATCTGCACTTCTTGTGTTTCTATCGCTCCTTTGGTTCATGCCACTTTATGCTGGGGAAACCCCGCGCCACATCACTAATTCAAGAAAAAAAAAAAACGGCGGGCAAATGAAATGCAGAATCCTCGAATGAAGCGAGGAAAAAAGAAACACCACTTGATTTGAAGAAAACTAGGCGCTCTCGTGGGTCCGCTGATGCCTCTTTGCACGTTTCCTCCTTGGTGTAAAGTGGGTGCGCCTGGAAAGGTTGGAAGAAAAAAAATACAAAGGCATCGTGGTTGGTCCGGTGCCCCGCCATTCAAGCACTAGGGTAAGAAAAGATTTCGCCAAGGGCAACCGTGCCAGACGCGATTTCACACCAATTACCCTCTGTTTCGGGCAAAGCCCCCACACACAAAAAAAAAGACAGGAGGTTTTGCCGGCATTCGGGTGTAGTGGGATACGGAATTGCTTTTTTTTCTTGATTTCTTCTGTGTTTCTTGGTTTTTAGCATCGCCGACGCCGCCGCAGCCCTTGAAAGTAGGGGCGGATATCAATCAAAGATCGACGATATGTTTTTACTAGCTTTCCGGCTTGAGATGTAAAATTTTTGAAAAAAAAAAGATGACGCCATTATTCCACCCAAAGCCCATTAGTACAAATGTTCAATGCCATTTTTTTTCTCTCTACCCCAGCATTTTCAACCCTTTGCTTAGTTTGCATGCTCCTAAGTGAATTTGCTTTTTTTCTATTTTAAGAGACAAAAAAACACCTGACGCCATATGCCCGAGTTGTAGCAAACGATCAGCTTTAAGAGGTTAAAAAAAGGGTGTAAAAATATAGAATAAAAAGGTTTTTCAGCCATGACTTTGGCAATCTAAAGTTTGGGAAAGGGAAGGGTGCGGTCGCCTGACGAAACCCGACCGTCAAAACCCAGTCAAAGCGAGAAGGCTGAAACCCACAACAATGCTTAAACGGAATGAAAATTCCAAAAGAAAACGTTTACGAGGACGCCAGGAGCGTAAAATCAGTAGCCGGATAAGGGGCCGGCTAGTTGCTTTCACCGTTTCTTGCGAAAAAGCCTCTAGAAAATGGAAGGAAAAAAAAAACTTTTTAAAAATGTTATCCTTTGGTTTTTCCAGACTGCTCGGTGGTCCGGGATGGGGTATAAATTCTCTTTCTTGGCGACAGTTTTAAGTGATGTCCTTATCCTGCAACTTTCTTCGAGGGCTGATTTCTGGGGCGACTTGCTGCCTTGGTGGGTCTTTCTTGATGGGTCAGTGTGCTACCTTTTTCTTTTCAAACATGCACCGCGATTACATTCCCTTTTTTTTCCCACCGCACTACTTTACCCACCCACTTCAATCAGATTAAGAAACATCCCTTTCGTCGC